AGGAGGCGTCTTCCTCCTCTGCAGCGCCTGCGGCCAACGTGACTCCCCCAGCTGAGGCAGGGAGTCCGGAGGTCCGGATCCCTAGCCTCGCGGAGTCTATGAAGGCAGGCTTGGCACGGGAAAGAGCGGCGGCACGCGCCAAGGAGGAGCTTGCTGCTTCGGCCCAGGAGGCCGCGGCTTCGGCTCCTGAGGCACGGCGCGACACCCGCCTTCCTGCAGTGACCAAGGAGGAAAAGGAGACAGCAGAGGCTAAGTCCCTCTCCTCCCTCAAGCGCGCCGTTGAGGAGAGCGGCGCTGAGCGTCAAGGCCCCGCGGCCAAGCGGGCCACCACCAAGAAGGAAGAAGCGCCCTCGGCACCAGCCGGCCCTGCAGGAGCCGCGGCCGGGACAGGCGCGGCTCCCTCGTCTAGTGGCGAGGCAGGTGCCGAAGAAGGTTCCAGCGGGGCCGCTGCTCCGTCGAGCACAGACAAGCGGCGACCCGCGGAGCCGGAGGGACCGCCGCCGCCCAAGAAGCGATTCACAACATGGCAGGATACCATGGAGTCGCCGGCTCCCCAACACCGAGTTTCGGGGGTTTACGGACTCTCGAACGAGGTTCCCGTGGCCGATTGGCGCGACGTGGACTGGGATGCGACTCCACCGCCGGGGCCTGGAAGGCCCGGCGCCCGCGACGTGGATCCCAGGCTCACGGTCCCCCTTGATCTCCCACATGATGAACAGATCAGGGAATTCTTCCGAGGCGGTGGTGAGCATACGCTCGAGCAGCTCCTCGCGTTGGCGCGGCGCCGGAGGCGCGCGTTCGTCTACCAGGCTGCGATTTTGTCGAACAGGCCAGTGTTTGAAATCTGGCCCGCTTACGATGAAAACGAGCTTGGACCGACACCCGAGCGCGTTCCGCTCCTCACAGGCAAGGTCTGGCCTTGGGGCTGGTGGGATTGCTTTACTTGTGGGCGTGCGAACCCACCAGAACGCAATACCTGCCGGCACCATGATTCCGAGGAGATCGGAGGTGCCCCCTGTGTGGGGATCTTCGAGGACAGCCTGTACTGGAGCACGCCGGTGGACCTGCGAACGGCGCCGGCGTGGTTCATCGAGGTCTGGCTCGATGAACATAAGGAACGCATAAAGGAGTACCTTTATGCGAAGCGTTCGGACGCGATCGACGCCGCAATGTCCAACGCCTACTGGACCTGTGGGCGGGACACATGCCAAGAGAGGAACATGTTATGGCGCAAACTGTGCTTTAAGTGCAGTGGCCCTAAGTCGGGCGCGTCGTTCATAACCCACGGCATGCCGCCCCAGGAAGGCGACGATGAAGCTGCTTCTTCGTCGGAAGAGAGCGAGGCCACGAAGATGGAACGGATCGAGCGTTCCATCAACGCCGATCCCCTTGCGGAGCATGCGAGGAAATTCCTCCGCTCCGGACGGAAGAGGCTCCGCGCTGAAAAGCGAAGGCAGGCAGAGCTCTCTCAAGACTCTGCCCGAGCCTGGTGGAGCCAACCTTCCTCCGGGCGCGGTGCACCCAGTGGGGGCCGCAGCTCTGGCAGCAAGGGTGGTGGCATAGGTGGTGGAAGGGGAAGCTCGAACCGCTACGGCAACCGAGGATGGTGGGCCGGAGGTGCTGCCGGACTGGCATACTCCTCCCGACTCGGCGAGCGTGCGGGGCAGCCCGCCCTCACGCTCCCACTGCGTGGCCCGGGTGGCCACAGAGTGGCGCCCGAGGCCCCTGCCGTTTCTTCTCGCCCCGCTGTCTCTTCCGGGCCCTCGAACCGTGGTGGGTTCCTTGGGGCCGTGCGCTCGATAGGCGCTGCGGTCTCCAGCGGGGCTCTCTCCAGGAGAGCGCGCAATCGCGCAGCCCACGCCACAACGGGCAACATTGGATGGAAGATGGGTTTGGTGGCCGCTGCGCTGGCGCCTACCCTCTTCACTGTTGAGCGCGGTGCCAGAGAGGTGGCACACGTGAGCCTCACTGCAGTTGCCACTGCGGCGGAGGACCTCATCGAGGAATCCTCTGGTATCCTCGTTCGGGGTGTCAGCGTGGTTGGCTTGACGGCCGTCGTCCTACTGTGGACGTTCGCGGCCGTAGTGCTGTGGTGGGCCGGACGTGTCGCCACTAACCGGCTAATGCACGCCATGAACGGTAAACCCTTTGGGAATGCTGTTCTGGTGTCGCTCGAAGGCCGGGAGGCTGTCTTTGAGGTTGCATCAAAGACTAAGGCCGGAGCACACAGGGTTCTTGTGAAGGTCGGGTCGGGCGCGGACGGCGCAGGCTGCGACTGCAAGGCATTCCTCAACGAGGGGCGTTGTGGTCACATAGAACGCGCTGTTGAAGCTGCGGGGCAACTCGTGGCCATGACAGGCGCGAGCGCTGCCCCAACGCTGTCCGTCGCCCCGGCCGCGACTAGACGCGCCCGTGCGATCCTCGGCGCGCCGGCCCTGGAACAGGGGTGCCTTGCCGGCATGGTGTCGAAAGCGAGATCGCTCTCTGAAAGAGCTCGGAATGTCGGGAACCCGTCCGAGGGTTGCCTTGACGGCTTTACCAAGCTCAGAGGCCGCCACGGGGTGGCCACAGTGTCGGCGCCTCCGACAGAGACTGTTCCGAAGACGCCTGCAGCGGAGGCTTCCCGCCAGGGTACCTCTGCGGCGTCTCCGGCTCCGACAGCTCCCATGTCGAGCCAGGCACGGCGTGTCAGAGACTTCCCGATCCCTGACGGCTTCGAGCGAGCCGGGGTCAAGTTTCTGACCCTTCCGGCGTATCACGCTGTGGTACAAACGATGCTATCGGACGCTGGGCATGGGGACCACGTTTACGTGCGAGCCTACAGCTTCGATAGCAAGCCTTTGGTTGGAGCCCTCGTGTCCTCGCTGGAGCGAGGCGCCCGAGCCCACGTGCTTGCCGACAACTCGCAGACGAGCCGGACCAAGCTCCAGCTGCAGTCCCTCAAGGAGCTAGGGGCGGCTGGCGTCCAGGTCCGTGACGGCAAGGGCACCTCGGTCAAGGCGGCTTACGCCGCCGAGAACCGCACGGACGTGAGCATCGGCGCAGGCCTCGCGGGCATCCACCACGCCAAGACGGTGCTCGTGACGAGGCCGGACTCCACAGGTAGCGCCGTGATAGGAAGCCTAAACTTTAGTGCTAGTTCACGGGCCAACGCGGAGGTCGGCATCGCGGTCGCCAGTGTGCTGACCTCTGAATTTAGCCAAAAGTGGCTAGATTCGTTTGGCACCGAGTGGTCCAAGGCGCTGAAGCTCGAGGAGTTCGAAGCACCTAAGCGGAACCACCGCGGGCGGGCAAAACCCTCAAATGTCCAGCAGCCCGCCGCGCAACCCAACGTGGAGCCGCAGTGACCGTGGACTAGAAGTCGCGGACTGCGCTTCGCCCTTCTAGCCACCTGTGGCAACTTCAGTTTTGGTCGCAGCACCTAGCTGCTTTCCGATGAGACGACAGGGTGGCGTATCCGCTCTACAGGTCTTTGACGGGAGCGGCTAGGGAGGCACGGTAGTGCTCCCGAAGCGCGTGGAGTAACGCCGCAGCTTCAGATGCTCGTTTCACCAGCCCTGTGGCCGCAGTGCGGCGCAGGCTGTGTACAGTAGGAAACCAGAGCCTCGTGCAGCACAGGCCGTGAAAAACGAAGGTCTTGTGCTGAGTGCGAAGGGTTTGTAGGAGGGCAGGGTCTGTAGGTCAGTGTTACGGCCTCCGGCCGCCCGCGGAATCCTACGGCTCTATCGTGCTCTCGGCTGAGGGGCGAATGTAACTGTACATAGTCTGCGGGCTGGCTGTTGTGCTGTATGCTTTTATGCATGCTCTTCTGTAATTCGTATTCATAACATTTTGGGCTCAAGTGAGCACGGCAGTGTGTCGTTGGTAGCTTCTCGTTGCCGCGACGCAATTGCGCGCAGCCCGTCCTGGGCGGACGTTCGACCTGTCACGGTCGTTGGACTTTCTGCTTGGACGGAAAACGAGGGTGCGTGCTGCCCCTTTGGGTTTCCGTTCTCTACAAGTAGTAGTAGCAGGAGTAGTAGTAGTAGTAGTAGTAGTAGTAGTAGTAGTAGTAGTAGTAGTAGTAGTAGTAGTGGTAGTAGTAGTAGTAATAATAATAATGATAAAAAAATAGTAGTAGTAGTCGTGGTAGTAGTAGTAGTAGTAGTAGTAGTAGTAGTAGTAGTAGTAGTAGTAGTAGTAGTAGTAGTAGTAATAAAATAAAAATAATAATAATAATAGTAGTAATAATAATAATAATAACAATAATAACAATAATGACAATAATGACAATAATAACAATAATAACAATCATAACAATAATAACAATAAAAACAATAATAATAACAATAACAATAACAATAACAATAACAATAACAATAACAATAACAATAATAATAATAATAATAATAATAATAACAATAATAACAATAATAACAATAAAAACAATAATAATAACAATAACAATAACAATAACAATAACAATAACAATAACAATAACAATAATAATAATAATAATAATAATAATAACAATAATAACAATAATAACAATAAAAACAATAATAATAACAATAACAATAACAATAACAATAACAATAACAATAACAATAACAATAATAATAATAATAATAATAATAACAATAATAACAATAATAACAATAACAATAATAGTAATCATAATAATAATAGCAGCAGCAGCAGCAGTAGTAGTCCTAGTAGTAGTGGTAGTAGTATAGTAGTAAGTAGTATAAGTAGTAGTAGTAGTAGTAGTAGTAGTAGTAGTAGTAGCAGTAGTAGTAGTAGTAGTGGTAGTAGTAGTAGTAGTAGCAAGAAGAAGCCGTCATCGTCGTAGTCGTGGTGTTGGTGCTGGTTTTGGCGATGGTAGTGTTAGCTGCCGTCGTCGCGGCAGGTTTTCGACTGAATCCTGGGGTTGTGGGGCAGGTCGCGAATGGTGCCGCGGTTTCGTCAAGCCAGCGTTCACGTACCCCGAGACCCTTGCGACCGCACACAAAACCTCAGGCCTCGCAGCAGCAGCTCGTGAAATTGCCCATCGTAAAGGAGCCCTTGAAGGAACCCCTTTAAGGAATGCCGGAAAGGTTCCCAGCAACCTGCCTGATTCATGGTCTAGGCTTGATGCAGTGCTGTAGTGATGTGTGCTGGCTCTATGCTGAGGTGCTCTCCAGGGTTCCGAGCCGTCATATTAGCGCTTCGGAGTTTTTCCTGGGGGCCCAGTGCTGCTGAATGAAAGGAGGCTTTAGGGGTTTAAGGATTCGGGTTGTGGGTTTAGGGTCTACATCATGCTTGCATGCGTGTGTATGTGTGTGTGGACGCTCGTGCGCAAGCTGTGGTGCCACGTGTTCGACTCAAGATGGTGCTGCGGCATGCAGAAAGAGTGTTGGATTCCCACACCCAAGGATGGCGCAGGGTTGCCTTTAGCTGGAAAACCTCGGAACAAAGCAGAGTGATGGACCCATTAAGCTGAATCCGTAGAGTAGCAGAGTAGCAGAGTAGCAGAGTAGCAGAGCAGCGGTAGCAGAGTAGCAGTCGCAGCAGCAGAGTAACAGTAGCACAGCAGCGGTATCCTGGATCCTGACTTGACAAACGTAGTTGGTAGGAGGGGGTGGTAGAAGTAGTAGTAGTAGTAGTAGTAGTAGTAGTAGTAGTAGTAGTAGTAGTAGCAGTAGCAGTAGCAGTAGCAGTAGTAGTAGTAGTAGTAGTAGTAGTAGCAGTAGCAGTAGCAGTAGCAGTAGCAGTAGCAGTGGCAGTAGCAGTAGCAGTAGCAGTAGTAGTAGTAGTAGTAGTAGTAGTAGTAGTAGTAGTAGTAGTAGTAGTAGTAGTGGCAGTAGCAGAAGTAGTAGTTGTAGTAGTAGTAGTAGCAGTAGCAGCAGCAGCAACAGCGGTACCAGCTGTAACAACAGTGGCAGCAGTAAGAGCAGGTGTACGTTCAAGAGTAGGAGTAGGAGTGTTATCTGCACCAGCACAAGAAGCAGGAGCTGGAGCAGGAGAAAGGAGGGATTGCATTATTTGCTGCTGGTGTTGCTGTTGCTGTTGCTGTTGCTGTTGCTGTTGCTGTTGCTGTTGCTGTTGCTGCTGGTGCTGGTGCTGTTGCTGTTGCTGTTGCTGTTGCTGTTGCTGTTGCTGTTGCCGTTGCCGTTGCCGTTGCCGTTGCCGTTGCCGTTGCCGTTGCCGTTGCCGTTGTTCAGGATTCAAGGGTCTAGTTTCAGGGTTTCCGGTGTCAGGGTTGGGGAGGATCCAGGCTGTCGGGATTCTCGGGTTTCGAGCCTTAGCAGAGCACCAACGGTGCCTGAGGACTATGACCACGGGTTCGGGCTACAGCTCATTTCAACATTGCTGCGCCAGTCTCTGCCAGAACCACGGAAAAGCAGGGAAGCCGGACTGTCCGAGAGCAGTCAGCCCCGAACCACGAAGCAATACGCCAGACCCTGCACCGCACCCAAAAAACCTAAAGCCCTACTGTAGGGACCAAAATATTATCCTGTAACCCCAAAACCGAATCAAGGCCACTACATTAAGACTGAAGTAATTCTTCGTTCCCTCCTTTTCGCGGGAGCGGTGGTAAAGGTGCTCATGGCGAGAAGATTGCAGATTCTGGTCGAGAATTGGACCTCATCTCCACAACTCCCATTTGCCGAGGATGAGTGCTTCAAATATAGATAAACTTGTAGACCAGTTCAACAAGCAGTAGACTATCAACCTCTTCCCTCCACTCTTCCTGGCTCATGGTAATTCCGGTGAAATCACTTCAGATTTCCCCCTGGCTCGGCAAGCACTTGCAGCAACCTCTAAGCCCTAAAACCGAAAGCCTAAGCTGGCATGACAGGGAGAAAGGGAGGGAGGGGGCTCATCGCAACTACACAGCAGTTTCAAATCCATGGCCGGAAGAGATTGTCAGCAACAAACACTCATACTCAACATGGTCACCTCTTCCTCCTACTACGATTGCTACTGACACTGCAACTACTGCTGCCACGGCTACCACCACTATCACCACCACTATTTCTCCTGTTTCCTCTCCTCCTTCTCCTCCTCCGCCTCCTCCTACACATGCTGCTGCTACTTAGCTGTCGCTGCTGCTGCCAGCCTGCCGCGCCAGTGGCCTGTGCATATCTCGGAGGCTATGCTTCCCAAGAGGAAGAACAGGCGAACGGGCGTGAAAATTATTCCCGAATAAAGCCTCCGGGCCTAGCTCAGGAGCACTCATCGACAGCGGGTTTTCGGTTCTGTGGATGCGTGTCTATACAGAAACACACACACAAATGTACATACATACAGACATACAGACAGTCAGACAGGCAGACATACAGATACACATACGTACATACATACATACATACATACATACCTACGTACATGCATACATACATGCATAAATACCTACCCAGTTACAAGCATATACATATATATATATATACATATATACACAACAAAGAAATACATAAAAATTCACATATACAGAGAGAGGGACAGAGATAGTATATGCACCCATAGATATACAGAGTCATGCAGCGAAGTTGTAGAAAATTCAGGGATGTTAGTGTCTTCAGGTCTTACGATGGAAGAGAGGGTTCGTACCATGGGGTTGGTAACAGTTTAGTGTTGTGTTTAGGGAATAATTATTGCCAGTTGTCGGGTTTAGGCGATTGTACGGTACGCCCTTATATGAGTATAGGCGAGAGCAGGGTAGTTGAGGGTCAAGGCAGGGTGCCCTTTACGGGTCAGGGTAGCATTTGGGGCCTTTATACGGGATATGGGTCTATGAAGGAATTCCCAGGGAATAGAACTCGTTATTGTCCAGGCTTCAGCATGATGCCTTCCACTCGTGTCCACGCCTTGCTTATCCGCCTTCATGTCGATTAATGTACCGAAACTAGCTGTTCTGGGTCGCTATCATCAACTACTCGCTGACAGTACCCTGACTGTAGGCTCAGAAGCTTTGTTTTGAAACCGGCAACGACTTGCCCCAAGCTCTTGTCGAATGCCGACAAAGGCTTCTTCGATTTCCGCGCAGGGGGATCCCCCTCATAATGCCCGATCCCCACTGGGTAGCTTAATCAAACAGGGCCTTCAGCAACGAAGGAACAAATGCTGCACTTTAGTGAACTCTTCGCCTTGCACAATCTTGTAGAGCTGAAGCAATCCAGCCGACAGAGCGCTGAACTCTACGTGCTCTTGTATCTGCTGAACCTGGACTTTAGCGACCCTAAACGAACGTACTGCAAGGATGCAGCTGGATAGACAGGCAAAAGCAGCGGAATTGCGTGGCTATAGGGTTTAGCAGAATTCTTGTGATCAAGCCTGCGTGAAGTGTATAGTGGTTCCATGTGGTGAAGTTTACTTGATTCAAACTGAAAGGGGCTCATATCGGACCTTGCAAGTAATTAGGGTTTAGGAAAGGCTCTACGAAAGGTTTGGGGGTTACGCCCACGACCTTCTTGCTCGGTCCGACAGGAAGGGTTTTTGCTTTGGGCTGAAAGTGTTTGTTCGGGCTGTCGGACACTGTATAGGGCTCGGCTAAGGCTTTGCGGCGACCCTGCAAGCTACCCAACCCCTGGGCATTACGCACTCCCGGCATCGCGGGTTGAGCCGGCGCTTTCTGATGCTCCATGTTCCAGGGCCCCATCATCCTCCTAAGCCGACAAGAGAAGGGACCGACCCCCATCTGACAGCCGTTGTGATGCCTTCTAAAACCCGCATAAACTCCAAGCCCGGAAAACGCAGGTTCTGTTGATGTAGATATGGGTAGTTGTCAAAATTATGGTCCCTTTTGGGGTACCCTAAATACTAGGTACCGTACTATATCAAGAACCCTAAAAAGGGACCACAATACTGACAACCACCCATCTAGGAGCCTTAGAGGTGTTTATTGTAATGTAAACCTGATGAATCCTTCGATAGGAATTCATGATTGGTTTTTCCGAAGCCAAACCGTGAATCGACTGTAGAGATCCGACAGCTTTTTGTTTTATATTCAATCTTAAACCCTATGCCAACATTATTCCTGGGGCCCAGCGAACCTGCTTAAGAGCATGCTCTCGGAAGGTATGCAATACTCACATTGCTCTTGCAAGAATTGTCGAGGGCTCCTGAGGAAGAACCGGAGCATGGGCCAGCAGCACCTGACGCGACTCATGAGGGTCAGAGTTTCTCGTGCCTGGGGTTTAGGGTGCAGCTTTTCTTTGTTTACGGTTTATCGGGTGCTTTTGCCGGCCTAGGGCTCAGGGTCGTTTCTATGGGCCAAAGGGCTTTATTTAATGCAAAACCCAATAATAAACTGAAACTAGAAAGGGCACGTAGCAATCCAAACCCTACAAACCCAACAATCATTCGTTGAGCACGCCTGCGGCTCCAACATGTGCTAGTAGACCCAAGAGCAACCTAGGAATTAAAAGGGTGCCCTGTAAAGGGGCTTATAAGGGAACCTGAGCCCCAACAACAAGGGAATAAGGGCCTAATTACTCCAGGTCCCAGGCTAATGCTGCAACACAGGTGGCCGATCATACAAAACAAAGGTTGTCAAAGGCGGCCGGTGCCAGGACCCCCCATGGGCCCTTTAGTAGAGTCCTTGTGGCCCGCAATTGGTGGGTATTGGGGGTATATTCGAATGTCAAAGCCGACCGGCTCTTTCATCTGAAAACTGAAGATTCGACGTCCAAGTGGGTGCTGTCATGTGCGCAAAACCTTAAACCACAAGCTCAAGTTACATGGTATTAACTGCAAAAACAACCTGTTGAAGGAGCCGTCGGTTTGTGGCTTCAGCTCTCCTTCGATTGCTAAAATCTGCCTGCATCGCGGATCCATACCGTTCGAGGACTCGCGCCTCATGCCGCCAGGCAGCCTAGGCTTTCTAGCCTAGACCTTGTAAACTTAAGCCTTGCCACCGTCGATCCCAAGGAACCCAGCTCGGGAACATGCCCGATGCAAATACAAAAATGACTTGCCAGGGAAGAAATTAGTGTAAACTTCTCGAAAAGAACCGTTAGCTCAACTGCTTACAATCCACGTGAACCTACCCTGACCGAAGACATGTCCCTCAAGAAGACATCCTTAACCGAACTTTCACTCCGCAATCCAAGCCCTAAACCCCTATATCCTAAATCCTAAACCTTAAACCCTGACTCACTTGGGCACCAAGGTGTCTCCATCGCCGACGCCGGCAGAGTGGATGGGAAGAAAGGGCCTAGTCTTTGCACCCGATGTTTGAGTCTTTGGAAGGGTAGGGCTTTAGGGTTCAAGGGCTAAGGGCTTTGGGCTTCAAGGTCAAGGGTTGGATGGGTTAGGGCTTGAAGGTTTAGGGGATAGTTTGTGTTTACTTTCATGAACGTGTGCTTAGATGGGGTGGTTGGGACTCAGGGTTTAGCATCAACCTGAGCTCCGCTCGCCCGTCGATTCGGGGACACGCCCTTCTTGAACTACACAACGACTGAGAACCCTGAGAGTTGCGAGATGCCTGTCTTGAACATGACAGACCTAGACCCTAAACTCCTAAACCTCTCTAAACCCAACATTAAACCCAGCCTAAAACCTGAACCCTAACCTCTTCGCCCAACCTTAAATCGTACAGACTTGACGCTTGTGTTTAGCAGAGGCCGACTCCTAAGCCGTTGTGAGACGTATACACCGAAAGCACTTGCACCCTCAAGCCTCTGGGCACGTCAGCTCTAACGCTTATTCGAGTCTACGCCCTCTTCAGCAGTAGTCCTTAGGGCACTTTCGGGCCTTTAGAGTTTAAGGACTATTGATTCAGGGGTCCTGTTGTCATAAGGGTTTAAGGTGTGGGATTCGGGGTGCGAGCTTGCAAGTACAGTGATCGCCGTGATGATGATGACGCTGATGACTACTATTATTATTGTTGTTACCATGATTGTTGAGTGATACAGTAATTACAACTCTTCTGAAAGGGGATCCCGATAAGGTATCACAAGCTGGTCAACGCTCTGCTTGAAGCATACTCGGCTCCTGTTACGAAAAATCGCTTAAGTTATCGCATATTGCTTCAGAAATCATTGCCCAAGGATTTGAGGGGCTGAGTTTCATTGCACATTGTGATATTTCACCCATGGGCGGCGAGCCCTTGACTCAAGAATTTGAGCACCCCCTGAAATCTAGACGACAGATTCTTGATTTTTGCAAGGGCTGCACACACACACACACACACACACATGTCCAAACTAGCAACCCTCCAGTCAAAATTAAGAATCTCAGCCCTCAAACTCTCAGTTTTATAGATACATACTTTGCAGCAGAGAGGTCTTTGTTATATGGCACTAAAGTAAACTTATTTCCTTAGCAAGAAGCCGGCATCAGCTGTTCGTCATCTTGGTCCGTGGCGGTAGCACACGCCCGGCAAAGCTTAAGAACGCAGGCTCCTTCAAAGAAGCTCCGGCTGAGGCTCGAGTTAAGACAAGTTTGGCTGCAAGTCCAGGGTGTTGGAATTAGGGGGTTGTTGTGTGTTAGGATCTGAGGTTCATGAAGATTTAAGCTTAGGATTTACGGGTCAGAGTTGAGGACTTCGGAATTGTTTCGTGTCGGCAGAATGTAGATCTTGGGGGCTCTGAACCCGGTTATTTACATATCCAGCTTCAACACTGATACGTAACAATACATCCTAACCATACCATCATCCCCTAATCATACCATCATGCCCCCCCTCAGCAAAACAACAATCTGTTCGAATTCATTGCTCAGGTCACTATGACCGTAAATTCTTAAGTTAAGTTGCGTCAAGCCTTGGGTCTTGGCTGTGGCATTGACTTCTTGCGAGCTTCTGCTGTTGAGGGTTTGAAGGGTTCAGGATCCAGGGCTAACGAAGAAGCTCAGGTCCTGAGGGCTTACCACAGGGGGTTGGCTTGCCGCCGAATTCCGAGGGAAACAGGCCCGAAACCTCACACAATGAGCCGAACACTAAACCTGTCCCTGACCCCGAAACCCTAGACTTGGCTAGACTCATACGGGAGTTTCCAAAAATAGGGGACCCTAATATAGTACCCTCAATAGTAGGATCCTTATGATTATTATGAGGACTCCAAAATTATGGTACCCTCAACTTCGGAAACTCCCATACCGAAACCCAGAGCTCTTCAACCAGTCTCCAGAGAAAGGCTCGTTGATCCCCAGCTGGCCTGGCCCACAGCACCCAGCAAAGCAGCCTTGAGGGGGGTAGGGGGTTTGGGGGTTTAAGGGGGTTTAGGGTTTAGGGGTTTAGGGGTTTAGGGTTTAGGGGTTTAGGGTTTGGGGGTTTAGGGTTTAGGGGTAGGGGGCTTTAGGCGCACTGCACGCGCCCTGACGATTAGAAGGGTCCCGGGCTATTGGGTTTCAGGTCGTCTCTGTCTTACAGCTGAGGCGGGAGGGGAACCCTTCAGTCATGTTCAATCTTGGTGCCCGTGGCTGACTATTATCTGGCTCTTGGCACAGGGCTTCTGATCTTCACATACAGGCTTAGACGGCTTAGACTAAGCCTCTACATGCAGGACGGACTTGCAACACTCAGAAAGGCGGCGGGAAGCAGTGCGACGTGGTTCTCTAACGGCATGTTTTGAAAGACCTTGACACTGACAAGGACCTGCCAAGCAAGACCACATCGAAAACAAAAACAACACATCACGAGCCCATGTCTGGCTGACCAAGGACTATGTAGAACACTGTCGTAAAGCAATCAGGTAGCTCCGGAGAGCAAAGGTCATCTTACACCGGCACATCTCATGTTCCAGAAATCCTGGGACAGTGCTCTACCTGTGGCTAACAAAAACAAACCCCCATAATCAGTTCTCATTAGCATCCCCACCCACCCCCAAACCCTACAAACCCTCCGATCTAAACCCTAGACTAGTTCATGGTTGGGATAGGATCAAAACTTTAAGCATTTCTTTTCCTTATTGGGTTTACGTACCCATAAACATGTAAAATGTTGCCCAACTGTGACAAAGTATATAGACACTAGCCGCACTAGCCCTGCCCCAGCCCGGCCTCTGCAGCTGCCTGTACATCGAATCCCGGCGTTAAAGCGCCGAGCCTCTCGTAGCACAGAGTCGGGAAGCCCGGCCCTATGCAGTTTTGTAGAGGTTTATATAGAATCTTTCATGTATAGAATAGGGCTTACGAATATTTATAAGGGTGTGCAAGGGTTGCACTGGGCATTAAATTACACCATGTATGAAGGCCCTCTAGCATCAATTTGGTGCCATTTAACGTCGTACAACATGTATTTCACTCTATGGGGACTTACGAAGAGCTTTACTTTCGGTTCTAGCCCTATGGGTCCTGGTGCCGAAAAATCACCGACTCCCAACATCGTATCCTCCACCTACCTTTCGGGAACTTCGGACCTTCTTTGTAGTTCATGTCTTCGAAATCGAATACCAACCCACTCTACTCCGGCTATAGAACTCTCTAGAAGAAGGCGTTTTGAGCATGTATGGGTAGGCACCTTGGGCCTATGACACTCGAATGTAGGATTCCACCAATTGCGAGCCTCAGCTGCACAGCCTTGCCAGCTGCCTTCCCTCCAGCATCCTGGCGAGGTTTGTGCGCTTTCTACCCGAAGCAATGAACTGTGTTGGGGCTGGGGCCTTCCGGTTTCTGCGACCGAGCTCGGGATGGGTGTTAGGGTTTACGCATAGGCTCCATGGTGGCTCCTTTTTGGGGATTACCTTATAGGATTCTAATATGAACCCCCAAAAGGAACTGCAATGGAGGCTCTAGGTAGGGTTTCCTTAACATAACCTACCTTTTTAGAGTTCCTTATTATGGTTTCTTTATATAAGTCCTTAAAAACGTAGGTTCTTCGGGGTTAAGGTAGGGTTTAGGGTTTCAAGGGTCACAGGTTTTAGGGTGTAAGTGTAGGGGTCGCTCCTCGGGCCGAACCACCCGGAGGTCGTACTCCACGTGGCGGAGGCACTCCTCCGAAGGATACATTTAAAGCAAAGAAACCAACACACACTACTTTCACATTATTATAGGAGTTACAAAATAGAAAAAGAAGAAATAGAACAAAGTAAGATATAAGCTTCGGCGGAGCTTGGGGAGTTTAGGGCTGTGGGGTTGGCAAGTTTGGGTTGCGGGAGTTTAAGGTTCTGTTCAAAAAAGTTAAAGTGCTTGAGAGTTTAAGGTTTAGAGGTCGCGGTTTGGGGGTTTAGGGCAGTTTAGGGTTTAGGGCTGGCTTAGGCTTGAGAGTTTGAGGGTGTGGAGTTTAATTGGGATCTGCGGAATTCTAGTGGGTCGTACTACGCAGTCGAAGGATGTCAAATCTTGAATTATTATAAGCCCCATAATCCTGAACCCTAAAGCACCAAAAGCCTGAACCCAAAAGTCCTAAGCGCAGGCACGGAAACACCCTAAACCCTAAACCTAAATCCTAAACCAAAACCCTAAACCGTAAACCCTACCCTTAAGCCCTAAAACCCTACACCCCTAACCCTTCAACCCAGGAAACCCTAAACCCTAAACCCTGAACCCCTAACCCTTCAACCCATAAGAACCTAAACCCTAAACCCTAAACCCCTAACTCTTCAAGCCCTAAACCCCTAAACCCTAAACCCTAAACCCCTAAACCCTCTAACCCTTCAACCCCTAAACCCTAAACCCTAAACCCTAAACCCCTAACCCTTCAACCCCGAAGACCCTAAACCCTAAACCCCTAAATAGCAGGATCCTTATTATAAGGACCCTCAACATGTTGCAAATAAAATTTTAAGCTGCCATTAATGCTTAACGGTAAGATAAAGAGCAGCGTGACGACTACTTCCCAGAAAAGCTAGTTCGGACAACCCCTAAAACCATAACCCGCAAAGCGCTAAAGCCCCAAACCCCAAACCCTGAAGCCCTAATCCACAAAGCCCTGTGGCCCCGAAGCCATGACAAAAGTAACCCGGAGCCGCGAAGCCCTGCAGGGATGGTCCTGGCCCTCCGCAGGATCGTCATCATCCCAGCCGCTTTCCTTCGTGGGTTTAGGGTTCCTTGCAATTACAATCAAGGGCCGCCCTTTTGCACAAGGGGTTTGTGGGGGGCGGGGGGTGTAAGGGCTTGCAGGTTCTTGAAGTGCTGGCGGGTTAAGCTTTAGGGTAAATCTCTAACCTGATCTTGCTCTGGTGCGTACGGCTTTGACTTGCTGGTCCTCGTTGCCATTGATATCGGGGTTTTGCCCGTCCCACCAGGAGTTAGGGTAACCCTAAATCCAAATCCTAAACCCTCAACGCATATGAGGAGAAATCATTACTGGCACTATAGGGGCCCTAGTAATTCGAACAGGGTTGTGGGATATGTTAGACTATGCTCCGTAACAACACTAAACCTACAGACCTCACAGCTGAGCACGCTGCATCGGGTTTACAGTTAGCCACATGACCGGTCGGTGCATGACGTCGTGTTTTGCTCAGCGTATCGAGGCCGTATCTATACACAAGGACACGGACCGGGAATGCAAATACCATACTGGCCAGAAACCACCACCAAACATCACTACCCTGAAATATGGCAGGATCACTCTGCTTCCCAGCCTTTGGACCCAACTTTATGTACGTAATCTTTGCTCGGAAGCTGAAACAGGGAAGAAAAAGGAACGGGGGCAAAGCGTGGGGCACCAGCACCCACAGCCCCAACAAAAAAGAACCCTAAACAAAACCCTAGAAAGCCTAGAAACTCTTAAAAACCACTAAAACCCTAAAACCCCAAAACCCTAAACGCTAAACCCGAAACCCTGAAACCCTAAAATCCCTCAGAGCCCCTCAAACACTCTGCGGCCCTGCCTGTGCCTCGGCCGTCGGCGGAGCAGGGGCCTCGTAGTCTTCATGTTACCCCCTAAACCCTAAATCCTGAAACCCTAAACCCCAAACCCTGAACCCCAAACCCTAAACCCTAAACCCCAGACCCGAAGCCCTGAACCATAGACCCTAGACCCTGAACCCTACAGCCTAAGCTTCAACCCGAAACCCTATAAAGGTTATCCCCCAAACCCAAGACCTGAAATCCTCCTTAGTATCTACCCTAAGGCCCCAAAGCAGTTCCTTTTGGGGGCTCATATTTAGAATCTTATGAGGCAGTCCCAAAAAGGAACTACTATGGGGCCTCTGGGTACTTCTTAACTTATTATTAAGCCCCCTAGATTATAGTACCCTTATAGATCCCTTATAGTAATCCTTATAGATCCCACTATGGGGCCTCTGGGTACTTAAGCCTTCGCAGCAACTGCACGACGAAAATGAGGATCCTACTATTTAGGTACCATATTGGGGACTTAGTAAGTAGGTAATAAGTAGACTTATAAGTACCCTTAACGGGACCCTGTTTCCTTGCACCCAAGGGCCGGTGCGTCCCAGTTCTCGTCCGTGGCAGAAACCTTCCGTGCGATAACGTGGTAACATGTAGCATCAGTATAGTATGGTATAGTATAGTATAGTATAGTATAGACAATTGTGATATATATCAGTATTGCAATGGAGTATAGTATAGTATAACATAGTATAGACAAGGTACAGTATAGTGCAATATAGAAGTGCATAGTATAGTATGGCATGGTCGTATGGTATGGTATGGTATCGTATTACTGTCGCATCGCGTAGTGTAGCGTGGTGTGGTGTTGTGTGGTGTGATGTTTTTTTGGGCATTGAATGGTGTGGTGTAGCCTAGTCTAGCCAAGTCTAGAGTGGTCTTGTGTTGTGTAATGTAGCGCAGTATCGTATGCTGTAGTACAGTAAAATACAGTATCGCATAGTATAGTATAGCCCGGTAAAGCACACTATGGTAAAGTGTAGTAGTCTAATCCGGCATACTATACTACAGCAAATTCTGTATAAAACAGTATGACACGCATTGTATCGCACAGTATGGTGTAGCATAGTATTCACGTTGAGGCCTGTGGGCTTTCTCAGTTTCGGGTTCAGGGGTTCAGAGGGGGCTTCAGGGCTTTAGGCTCCGCTATTCCAGGGCGGCGGGACGACGGCACTTCTAAGGGGTTTGAGGCCGCGGGTTGGCTCTGAAGGTCCGGAGCGTGCAGAGCCTACGTCTGTGAAATCGGCGAGACAGGAGTTTCCGAAAATAGGGGACCCCAATATGGTCGGATCCTTATTATAACGACCCCCAACATAAGGTACCCCTAAATTTCGGACGCTCCCAGACAGGTCAAGCGCTCTAAGCACCGACTTGGTCAAGAGATCTCCTGAAACCGTGGCTTTAGCACGCAGTCCGCTGCGGGCTCGGGCTTAAGGTGTACCTTCACCTACCAGAACCTGCTTTTTTGTAGGGTCCCTATAAATCCCATATTAGGGTTTATAATGAGAGCCTACAAAAAAGTAGCCTTTAGCAGGTCTAGGTAGGCTTTACGGAGTCCCACCGGGCGGAGCATTTGCACCGGAATCGGACCGCTGTCAAGCCCGGCTTCTGTCGGCACTCCCCTGTCAGCCCTCCTCAAGATATGCATGTGTGCTATGCCCCTTGTTCGAGTCACCACTGCGAAAGAAAGAACCGCAGGCCCGGGGTTGAAGAACAACAGACCTTACAAGGAGCTTAGAGCACAACTTCGGGAAGCGGTGCCTGAAGAAGAAAGCTTTACGGGCACGGGGTATGCGGCTCCAGGGTGGTGCACATACACACTAACACAGTGAAACACATAAAGATTGATTCCCACTCCTCGACACCTGCAGGGAAAGATCCTGCTTGAAAGGACCCCCCAAAACAACTCTAAACCCCCAAAACAGTTCGTGAGGGTCTGTATGTGCGCACGTACAAGTCTGGTCTGCCCACCTACCTATCTGTCTGCCTGTCTGTCGAATCATCCATCCATCATTCATCCATCGATCTATCTGTCTGTCTGCCGATCTAACTATCTAGCTATATCGAACTATCGAACTATTTGTGTGTTTACTTTCATCGAACCTCATTTCGCTCCAGTGTGCCATCAGGTGCAAATCGCCATTGAAAGCCCGAAAGGATCGGACGGAGGTCGAGCACACAGATGGGGTGCCTTGGTGTATGGTAAGTGGTGCCAGGGCGTGCAATCGTTGCAACCAGAATGGCTCTGGACACTGAGCCTTTGTGCATGTGGTTGCAAATGTTGGGCGTGGCGGGTCGTAGGATCATGCGGGCCGTTTCGACCCCAGCACGGGATGCAATGTCCTGACGAATGAGTAGGTAGATAGATGGATAGCTGGACCGTTGGGCAGAAAATGTAGGGGCCTTAACGACTGGAATAGGGCTTGGGGGGTACCTTAATTATGGTATAGATATGACAAATATATGACCCAACCCTAAGATAATGAAAAAGCCGGTAAGCCCCTGCCTCGCGGACGCCCGCTGAGGCAGCGATGTCCTTCCGATGCTCGAAGAACTCTGGACGTTCAAGCTCCCAACCCGACACCAAAACCTCAGCCTGCAGCGTTTACAGTTGCCATGAGCCCAAACTCTCGAAAGCACAAACTTGCAGGTCCGCATGGGCCTGGCGGCGTCTTGCATCCACTCTGGCCTCTTCCCCTGCGAACACTGCACTAGCGCATGAAACGTAAATCGGAACACACTCTCGAACAAAATGGCTGGTGGAATCGAAAAAACGATAGAACATCAAGATAACAAATCTGAATAACATGGTGCGACCAACTGCGAACACTTTGGCGAAGAATCCGAAAACATCGGTCAAGAAAACAAACGACAATTCGGACCACAGCTCGGGAAACATAAACGAACAACAGCAACAACAACAACAACAACAACAACCAACAACCAACCACAACAATCACGACAACAACAACCCACCACCACCACAACAACAAGGTGCAACCGTACACTTGTTGCCGCCCTAGTGCAACCGTACACTGGGTCGGTGCGCACGGGAGTTGTGCACGGGAGGGGTGCGCACGGGAGGGATGCGCACACGAAGCGGGTGATGGAGTGCACGGGCACGCTGTGGGGGTGATGGAGCGGTGCGCGCTCACGGGTGCGCACGGTCGGCGCGCGCGTGTGCGTGCACGGGATGGGTGGCTGCGCGCGCACGGGAGGGATGCGCGCGGGAGGGGTTGGGGTGGCGGGTTGGGGTGGCGGGTTGGGGTGGCGGGTTGGGGTGGCGGGTTGGGGTGGCGGGTTGGTTGGGGGGGGGGGGGGGGGAACAAAAAGGCAATGGGGCCCCAGTGTACGGTTCCACCAACAACAACAACAACAAAAGCAACCAGAACAAGAACAACAGCAACAGCAACAACAACAAACAAAACCACAACCACAACAACAACGACAACAACGACAACGACGACGACAACAACAAAAACGACGGCAAGAACAACGACAACAACACCAACAATAACGACAACACTAGCAGCAGCAGCAGCAGCAGCAGCAGCAGCAGCAACAAAAACAACTACAACTACGACTACAATTGCAACTACAACTACAACTGCGACTACAGTCGCAATTACAACTACAACTTTTACTGCTACTACTACTACTACTACCACCACTACCACTACCACTACCACTACCACTACCACTACCACTACCACTACCACTACCACTACCACTACCACTACCACTACCACTACCACTACCACTACCACTACCACTACCACTACCACTACCACTACTCCTAGTACCACTACCACTACCACTACCACTACCACTACCACTACCACTACCACTACTCCTAGTACCACTACCACTACTACCTCCTTCCTTCCTTCCCAATCGCACACATCTGTCGATGTCCGGCGTCGCCTCTTCAGACCGTTGGTCCGGCCATCTCAGCGGACAGCACGAGGACTTAACAACTAAACAAAGCGTGTCTGCACGTCCGAGCCATAGCTCCTAGCAACGCGCAGCTTCCACATCGCCCCTTAAGGGCCAAGCATGCGGATGTAAACATTCGCAGCGGTTTGACTGTCCGTGTTCCCGCGCACTCTGCAGCAGAATATCTTGGAAACAGTCGGGCACTCAGACATACAAGAGGAGATGTGCGTCCACATCCTCTGCCCATATATCACAAAGGGACCTCAGTGAGAGAAGCATGCTAAAGCGTGCTTCGCACCTCATCACGCTCCAACGCGACTGTGGCTGCTTTTCAGTCACTGTCTCGGCGACTCCTGCGAAGTGCAACCTATGGCGACTCATGCTGCTCATTGCACTGCTCCTCCGAAGCAATCATGCTCCGCTCAAGCGCTTGTTGCATGCGGTGTTCACATGTGACATCAATCACACATGAGAGCCTGGGCTTGAATCCAAGCTGAAGCAGCCTCAACATGTGGGGTAGTTGAAGACTTGCCGCATTTCTATCCACGCTGCCCACGATGTAGATACGCCTTCTGCGATCCACTTGAGGGCTGCGGTGATGGCGCACAAACTGCAGATCTGGCCGGTGCAACATAGAGATCAGCACACCAATGCAAACACTGACTAATGCGCTAGCCGAACCAGCCCACGGACGTCGTGGGGAGCCAAGTCTCTGTCGGACCAGTAATGCCCAACACGACACTGGTATCATGGCCTTGGTCCATCAGCACGGCAGTGGGATCGCACATGTGTGATCTCTCGCCGGATGCACCCAAGCATAATCCACTAGGCAAATACACGTGAAGAGAAAGGTCCTCGGAGCAATCAGCGTTTTTGTGGCATGCTATCATGGCCGTCATACCCCTCAGCACTGAGAAAACGCATGGCACAGCTGGAACGCCAATGGCATCACATAGCTCACATCATTTCGCCAGGAGGCACCTGCAGACCAGAAACAGAAAACCCACCGTAGTACATCCAGCTGAGCATCACAAGGGGGGGCGCGCGCGCGCATCATAAATTTTCCCCCAAATTTCCCCCAAATGTCCCGACGCAAGCGCCTAATGAGAGGCGATGCGCGTAAAGAAAAGCACCAGCGACTACACACAGTCACTTAGGAGCATCTCATCGTGGTCCGAGTCTGATCCGCCAGTCGTCCATGGGCCCCTCACCTCTGCCATCCCAAGCTCTTGGAGATAGCCTGTGCCACACCAGAACGCATCGGTCGGTCCGGGCGGATAGAGGCACCGATTAGCTGAGTGGCCGCGCTGTCAGTGATGTCCATAAGGTAACCATGCAGCGTAGCCGCCTCCGGGTGACGCGCGCTGACCTGGATTTTGAAAGGCAGCGATGCTCCTTCCATTTGCTCCACCAGGGGGCGTGTGGGATGAAAGGCCGTCACCACGCCCTCAGTCGCAACCAGCTGCTTCATAGCCTGCACAATCGCCAGGCTCCGCACGTAGCTTAGGCCCGGTTTGTCGGGATTCGGTTCCAGCTTTTTCTGTTCCGAGTTCCACCTGAGGGCAGTCCACGTTGGATCTTCGGCGTTGTCGGTAGGGATCAACCAACTCACCTTCCGCAGACCAGTGAGAGCCTCGGCTTGCGCCGGCGTCTTGATGCCAATGAGCCTCTCGGAGAGCTCCTGTAGCACGCACTGTATCAGCGTCACCCGCATGGGTTTGGACAACTTGGTGGGAGCTTTAGCCTTGAGATCTCGCCATTCTTGCTGTGCCTGGAAGACATGGTCCACGATGGCGCATGGGGACTTCATCCTAAGGAATACCATGAAACTGTGATCGGCCTTGAGGATGTTTAGGTCGTCCTCGTGGCGTAGAACAATGCGCTGTAACTGATGGATCTTCGCACTGAGGTCGGACTCCTCGCCATAGTTTCCTCGGTTCCACGACTGGTACGGCCTGTTCCACGCAGGTCGGTTTTCTCCTCCACGTTTGTTCGTGGTAGGGCCGCCGTTGGTGCCCTTCCCTCTGCCTCCATGCTTTCCATTGGCTCCACGAGCCCAGCTGCCACCACGATGATCTTCGGGATGTTGGTCAGCCTCCGATGGCGCAGCGGTTGAGGGCAAAGATACAGCGGCCGAACCGTTGGGGCGATACTTGGAGAAGAAAAACATCTCTGCTTCCTCCATGTTCTGGGATTCCAGCTCAATCTCTGCAGCACTCATGTCTCCCAGCACAGGATGTCAGTACGCTATGTCAGCGCTAGTTTTGAGCCCTGTGCAACCAGATGAGGTAGCCATGTCGCTTGTGGATTGCGCCATACTGAGTGCGAACAGCAGCTGCATTATCATCCTGATAATACCATGAGGAGCCGACGCGAAGTAGACATCGATAGTGTCCTTGATGAGGACTGTGGCCGAGGTGCACCTGGATCGCAGCGACATTGAACGAATCCCATCGGACATTGATGCCTTCGCTGAAGACTGGGAGTAGCACACGAGCATCCACATGTATGGGGATCATGCATTTTCGACGATCCACAAACCTGCCAAGCTGTATGATGACCAGGCCATCAGTGTACACAATAGCACGATATTAGCCGCTTCTATACCACGCAGTGACAACTTGTTGTAGAGTGGTGGCCTCCGGCGGTATCGGCATATTGATGGGTAGACATCCTTGATCGAGGAGTCCTGCGCCTTCCGGTTCATGCGACCGACGATCCCACACTGTATGCACTAGATTGGCCTGCTCCAAAAGATGCTGCATGAACTCCGCTGCATCCTGTTGCGTGTTTCCAAGCTCCCAGCCCCCACAAAGTCGAATGAACATGGCATGTTGCGAAAGATGTATCAACTCTCTGCGATTCACCGACTCACGACAGTCCTCGATGAGCCTGCGAAGTCTTGGGGGTCGGTTGTGCAAGGCCTCGTATGTGTGTAGCAGTGCCACAATCCCAGAGTTGACATAGCACAAGTTGTGTGGGTTATGAAAACGCAGATGGCATGTCCATGGAGCCTCCGGATCCTGCTTGACTGAAACTCGCGGTCCCAAAGTGCCCCTGGTTGTCCGAACCTGAAATAGAGACTCAACCGCCGTCAAGGAGGGCCTAGCTGTGATGAGCGCCGCATGCCTTGGTTCCAGCCTCTGCAAATTCCTGCTGGAGCACCTCTTTCCTGACAGCAAGGGTGTTGGTCGGCTGTTGCGCAGTTGCCGGCGGCGTTGCCTGTGATGTCCTCGCTGTCTTGGCGAATGCCTTGCCCAGGGGAGTGCCTGCCACCGAAAAGCCATGGTAGGCTGCTGGCTTGTCGTGTTGTTTCACAGCCACCGGCTTCAACATGGTTTGAATGGCCTGTAGGTCTTGTACACGCAGCAGCTCACGTGCTGCCGCCACCTGAAAGTACACGGAGCATCTGTCTGCGTGTCTCTGCGGTTGTTTGGTGACGCTTCGGCAGTACTCACACGGAGACTTGAAGGTCGCGCACATGCTCCGCGCCTCCGTCTGTGCATGATGTCCTGCTTTTCGCATGGCCTCCGGGTGGTACTGCTGCCAGTGCGCTGTGATACGGGATGTTTGTTGTACTCTTTGCCCACAAAGAACACACTGAGTAGCGAACTCCCTGAGCTCCCTCGCATATCTCGGCATGTTCTGCACCGGTATCCTGAAGAGCTCGGCTCTAGTGAAAATAGGAACCGCATGCCCCGCAAAATCACCTGGAGGAATCGGCGGACTGATTTGCTCCTCCCGAATGATCTCCTGCATGA